GCCGGCCTCCTGCCGCAGCAGCCAGCGCGTCTCTGACGCGGGTGGTGCAGGAGCTAGGGGCGACGCTTGTGTTGCTGGAGTGACCTGACAGCCAGAATCCCAGCTCGCGTGTGGTCTGTAGCGATCAGGACGGTGCTCGGCACAGGGCACCAAAGGCTCGTGGGGACTTTGGTATCCAGAAGAGAGATGCAAATGAATGTAAATGGCTGTCGGGCATGTCGGTGCTCTGATCAGCTTTCAGTTTTCTCTCTGGATTAATATTAGTCAGGATAAATATAGTAACTCCGTGATGTGCAGAAACACAGACTGCTACTGCTGCGTGAGAGACAAAGGAGCATGTAGGAGATTGTACAGCTTGTAGCTGTGGAACCTCTGCAGCCAAAGCTACGTGTCCCTTCCCAGCAGAGGCGGGGGATCGCGGTGCCCGACAGAACTGTCTGAAGAGGAACGTCAGTCCCCACTGCTCTCCTTTTAGAGTCGCGTCTTTTGGACGTGCCTGCAGTAAGTGCCCTGGAACGGGGCGCTTTTCCTTTGTGTTTGCGCCAGTGCCTCTCACCGTGGGATGCTTGTCTGAGTAGAACAGAAGTAATGTTGATTTCTTATCGTAAGATTGTGCCAAAAGTTTGAGAAGCGCACACTTTGGATCCACTGTGTGTTACTGGAGGGATATAAACTGGCTCTGTCTGAGCTCAGCCTGAAGTCCATTTATTCTCCAGTGCTGTTTGTTACCTTCCTAAGGTCATCATTTGCCTTTCTCTTTCCCCACCCTTGTTAGTGGACGTACCAGGCTATGGTTCACGAGTTGCTGGGGATTAACAACAACCGCATCGACCTCTCTCGGGTACCGGGGATAAGCAAGGATCTCCGAGAGGTCGTCCTGTCTGCCGAGAACGACGAGTTCTACGCCAACGTAGGTATCTCGGCGGGGATCTTCATGAGTACCTGAATTTGGGGATCGGGTTCCGCTCTTGGTTTTGTCGTGTGAAAGGAACTTTTCCAATGACTTTGAGCATCGGGGTGGTGGGGTACTGTGTAGCTTCTGCAAGTGGTGAAAATCAGCGTGTAACACAAGCAGCATCTGACAGGAAATAACGCATCCATTTTATAGTTTTATTTCAAACCCCGGCTGCCTGCAGAGCTGCTTGCTCAGGCTTGGGTCTCGGGGAGACGGTGTGCAATGGCATTTCAGTGTTCTGGGCACAGAGTCGCATCAAGACTCCCGTTAGAACAGCTTTCTCACAGATCCCTGTCCTGTTCCATGCAGAACATGTACCTGAACTTTGCGGAGATTGGCAGCAACATCAAGAATCTTATGGAGGATTTCCAGAGGAGGAAACCAAAGGAGCAGCAGAAGCTGGAATCCATAGCGGATATGAAGGTACACTCTACACGTAACCGGACGTTTACAACCCCACCGGTTGCAGGACAGTGCAGATCACTGCTGTCTGTACACTGACAGTCCACGCTGCCAGTACCAACAGGTCAGACCTCTGTGGAGTGCTAGTTTTGGGGAGCGGGAACCTCCTTTTTGCACTGTGTTCCTTACAATGGTTCTTCGCTGACGGCTAGATGCTTCCATAGGCCATTCTGCACCACCGCAGCGTGGTCTGCAAGCCTGCTTGTGCTGACTGCTCCCCAAGCTGCTGCTTAGAGCTTGCTGGAATCCCAAAGCCCCGCAACTGAATCGGTAAGCTCTGGTTTAAGTACTTAGCTTACCCCGATACGGCTGCGTGGACTTTGTATCTGAGCTGGGTTGCTTGGCCACAGCTCAGAGCGCAGGCTGTTAATTCAGTCGCTGCTCAGATTTGAAGAATCCTGGTGACACTTTTGGAGATACTTTCCATATCCTTTTAAGAGTAAATAAAAAGTACGTCCCTTCCAAAATCCTGCTTGTAATTGGAGAAATCCCATGGGCTCCTGGGACTGAGGTGCCCGATCATCCATACACCCACCCTGGTCTTGTTTATATTGATGCAAAAGAGCTCAAGCAGTTTATCGCTGGGCTGCATGCACCCACTGTCTCTTGCTGTCTCCTGGTTTCCTTTCAAAGAACCGGTTGCTTTGGTTTCCCCACTGTAGGCATTTGTGGAGAATTACCCGCAGTTCAAGAAGATGTCGGGCACGGTATCGAAGCACGTGACAGTAGTGGGAGAGCTCTCTCGACTGGTTGGTGAGCGGAACCTGCTGGAGGTGTCTGAAGTGGAGCAGGAGCTGGCCTGCCAGAATGACCATTCCAGTGCTCTCCAGGTACCTCGGGCTCAAAACCAAACCTCGAGCCTTTGTCTGAATCCAGACGGTTTGATCCCGGAACTCCCCTGTTGATGGGCGTTTGATACTGAAAGTCGGTGGGAGTTCTGCCTGCAGATATCCTGCAGGGCTGGGACGTTAGATGTTAGAATTACTCTTCTCCTCCCTGTTCAGTTTAGATGGGGATGAATCATAGTTAATAACTGGCTTGAGAAGCATCTTTGCAAATTCTGTCTTTACATTTCACAATACAACATTCCTTCATTATATACAGTCAGTTGGCTTCTGGCAGGCTGCCTGTGCAGGCACCAGTGGAAAAAAAAGCCTCGGACCCCCAGGCAGGAGCTTGTTGTATTTGCTGGGGAGGAGGAGAAATGGAATCCATGGAATCATCTAAACCAGACTATTCATCGAGGTGCTGGCTTCTACCTTTTTTTTTTTTTTTTAATGAAAAACAGGGGAAAGCCCTTTCGATAAAAGATTTCTTTGGCCAAGG